AACTGCAAGTGTCTGTTATATCTGGTAGGAATAGGGAGCAGAGTGGATGGTGGCTAGAGACACACTAAACGTCAGTCCTGGAATGACAGCCTAGGACCTGGGTCTCTAATCTAAGGGAGGAGGTAGATGGGGAAGATTTGAAGAAGAGGGCAATGACAGGACCCTAGTTTCAGGGACTTTCTTTGGCTTCTGAGTGGAGGACAGACTGTGGAAGTGAGGAAAATGGCAGGGAGCTGTGAGAGGATGTTCTTGCAGCCGTCTAGGTGGATGTTGCTGGTGGCTTATCAAGAGTAGCCATGGCTTCAGGATGTGTTTTGAACTAGAGCGGCTCACATTTTATGATGTAGAGAGTGGGGAGGTAGGATGGAAGCGAATCAGGAGTGGCCCCATGGTTTTGTTTGGAAGCATAGATGCTGCATCAGCTAAGATGGGGAAGTCAGCAGTATAAGGAATTTTCAGAGTGAGTATGAGGATTCAGTGTTTGTTCAGGTCATAGATGTCTCAGAGACTCCTGGTGGAGGAGTTCAGGTTGGAGATGTCCATACCATGGTGGCTGTTGTATGGACCACAGTGAAGCCATGGATTCAGTTTAGGTGGCAGCATCTCTAGGTTATGGTGGCAGTGCTGTTTGAAGATAGAAAATTGGAATGGGGCATGAGAACTGGGTCTCTTACTGGGTACCTGTGTGGTGAGGGAGGAATCACTAGACTAATGAGGGAATGGAGTGTTAGTGGGGATGAGAGTGTGTAAGACGGTGGGTATAGAAAGAAAGGCTTTGGAAGGAGAGGACATGATAGGGTTGCTGAGGGCGATAATTGGTTCAGGTTGGAGAGTTGCTAAGCATCAGTTGGGGTGGGGTGAGGATGGGAATTATATTAGCCTGTTTTCATATTGCTATAAAGAACTACCTGAGACTGGGTAATTGATGAAGAAAAAAGATTTAATTGACTCACAGTTCCTTTTTATTTTATTTTATTTTATTGAGACAGAGTCTCTCTCTGTCACCCAGGCTGGAGTGCAGTGGCATGATCTTGGCTCACTGAAACCTCCGCCTCCCGGATTCAAGTGATTCACCTGCCTCAGTGTCCTGAGAAGCTGGAACTACAGGCACACGCAACCATGCCCGGCTAATTTTTGTATTTTTGGTAGAGACAAAGTTTCACCTTGTTGTCCAGAATGGTCTTGATTTGATCCTGTGATCCACCCACACTGGCCTCCCAAAGTGCTGAGATTACAGGCGTGAGTCACCACACCCTGCCCACAGTTCTTCCTGCTTAACAGGAAGCATAACTGGAAGGCCTCTGGCGGAAGGTGAAGGGGAAGCAAGGCACATCTTCCCATGGTGGAGCAGGAGAGAGGGAGAGAATGAAGGGGGAAGAGCCTCACACTTTTAAACAACCAGATCTCGTCAGAACTTACTTTCATGAGAAAGGCAAGGGGAAAATACACCCTCATGATCCAGTCCCTTAACACCAGGTCCTTCCCCTGACACATGGGGTTAACAATTCAACCTGAGATTTTGGTGGGGACACAGAGCCAAACAAACCGTATCAGGAGTGGAGGTGTGGAGATCAGGGCAGCTGGGCTTGGAATGACGTTTTGGTGGAGAGCGATTTTCCTGACTGCTTATGGGACAGAGTATGCTGTGAGGCAGGAGACAGCTGAGAATACGTGAAGTCCTCACATGGTTTGGGCAGCTGACAGTAAAGTGAGAAACAGGGCCATGTGGGGAAACCTTCAAAGCAGGGCTTTGGGCTGCCCCTGGTGCCAGGGGACTTTAGTGTTCTGGGGCAGGACTGGGAGTGAATTGGATGCTGAGTGTATTTGCCGTGCACCATCTGGTTTCCATGTGCAGAGTGGCCCGTTAGGAGGTGAAGGAAATACCTATGGTGTGGGCTGGGAGGTTTCTGTGGAATTTACAGGAGTGTAGGAGTGAGAGATGTGATTGGAGTGCTATCCAAAGAGTGCTATGCAGGCAGGAGGAGTGTGAATGGATGGCCCCAGGCCCTGGCCCTGGTAGCTTAAGGGAAGGGGATGAGTCTGCATTTGGTTGTCTTGGGAGGCAAGATCTGAGTGACTCCATGGAAACCAGCTAGCAGAAGACGATGGATATCCCCATGGGAGGCCCACATCCTAGAGGGTACTTTTCTGCCTTGTCCTTCACCTGTTTTCTCTGTGTGCTGGACACAGTGGCCAATGGAAATGTGGAGAGAAAAGTCACTCTTGCCACCTGGATGTGTTGTCTCTTCCACATTAGGAGGGTGTGGAGACTGAGCAAGGAAAGGAGGTATAGGGGAGAGTGATGAGATCCTGGAGAGAGAGAAATATAGCAGTGATTATACGCATTAGGGTTTTTTTTTCTTTTTTTGACCGAGTCTTGCTCTGTCACCCAGGCTGATGTGCAGTGGCGCAATCTTGGCTCACTGCAACCTGTACCTCCTGTGTTCAAGCAGTTCTTCTGCCTCAGCCTCTCAAGTAGCTGGGACTACAGGCATGCGCCACCATGCCTGGCATATATATATATATATATATATATATATACATACACATACTTTTTAAATTTTATTTTTGTTATTTTAGTTTTTCATGGATCATAGGAAACAATATTTTTTTTTTTGAGAGATGGAGTCTTACTCTGTCACCAGGCTGAAGTGCAGTGGCACTATCTTAGCTCACGGCAACCTCCACCTGCAAAGTTCAAGCGATTTTCCTGCCTCAACCTCTGGAGTATCTGGGACTGCAGGCAGGCGCCACCAC